CCTGCCCAAGGCCTACCCTCCAGCTTCAGTCCCTACTTCTTTCCCACAGCCCCTGCCCTTTAGGGTCACAAGTTCAGGACCATGAATGGCCCTTTGTGCTGTCCCCTAATCACTGAGGCTTACTCCCCCTGTCACCAACCTAAATCAAGAAAGACCAGCTGAGGAGGGGCTGGCACCTGTTCCTGGTGCCCTAAGAAGGAGGCTTGGTCCCAGGTTTCGGTCCAGTCTCAAATCCAGTCCAGAACTTGGCTGGCTCAACCTAGCACCCAGCAAACAGCCTGGTGGCCCCACGCAAGCTTGAGCCTGCAACCTGGTCTAGGGAAGCTGGCGGCTGGCCTAGGCCTGAGATTGGTGGAGTCTTGGGTGCCCCAGAGCATTCAAGCAATACGATGACAGGCTCAGCCTGTTGTGACTTCTGCTCTTCCCAGCAATTAGCATGGCTCCCACCTGCCCCCTCCTATCTCCTGTGGCCCAAGTTTCCTCCAGCCAGGGCACCTGGGTCTGGACTCTGCCAGGCTGCCAATTGGCACTGCCAGGCAGGTGCTTGTGCCATTTGAGCACCTGTGCTGGTGGGGAGGGAAGGGAAGGCAGATCAGAGACAGCTCCGGCTCCTCAGGCCACAGATCTGGGGAAATGGAGCCCAGAGATGCCTGGGGAGACCCCCTGTCTCCCCCTTGGCTGCACCAGATGGCAGCTGATCTGCCAGCTATAGAGGCCAGAGCCAGGGGGCAGCCTAAGCTGGGCCCTGCCAGTGGGGTCGTGGGCTCTGGTGACCCATCTCCCAAGGGCCAAGAGATAGTGCCTCGCCTGGGGGGGCCGGTGCTCTGGGCTCCACCTTTCTCAGGAGAAAGTGGAGGTTCCACTGGGGAGACCTCCTGCAAGCTCTTCCAGGACTCGAACTCAGGCCCTCTAACTGCAGGGCGTGCTGTGCTGCCCTTGGCCCAGAAGCCACTGTCCTCTGTCTCATTGCTGTCTGTTTCACTCTGCCCTGCACGGAGTGCCTCCTGTGTGGGGAGACCTCAGGGACAGTGCTGCTCCCTGATACCTGACTTTCCCCACTTCTTCATGTAGGCCTTGCCTTACTTACCGCAGTGAATGAATCCAATCACCCTCCACCCAGACCCTCAGCAGGACCATTTCTCTCTTGGCCCACTTTCTACCATTCTGCCCCCCACGCTCACTGCCCTTAGTGGGACAGGCCCGTGGGGACCCTTTGGGTGGCATGCTTTCTGTGGTGCCTACCCCGGCCCTGCAGGACCCAGAGGCATTCAGGCATATGTGTGTGAGCGCATGTGTGGGCTATGGAAGGTGGCATTTGAACCAGCTGTCACAATGCCACTGGGGCTACAATCACCCACTGTGGAACCCAGCCCTGCTCTCCTTTTGTCCCTTCTGTCTCCATGGGGCACTGCCTGTGTTCACATGCCAATCCCTATTCTGGCATGTCAGGGCTGGGTTCAGCAACCTCCGGGGCTCCCACCCCTGGCCACCAGCCCATAGCATGCAGGTCTGCTCTCGAGCGCCACACGCGTGTTGCAGATGGGGGCACACGTGCTGCCTCTTGTGCCTGCCTTGGCCCTGGGGAGTGGGGAGTTTGGCAGGAACAATCCCCCTGATGCAATCATCGGCTCATTCTCTCAGCGCCACAGAGGCACGGCTGGCTCCTCAGTGCCCGCCACCAGCGGGCACAGCTGCTAGCTTCGCGGGCTCAGGGGAGGAGTTGAATTAGCAGTCATGCCTTCTCAGCAGAGTGGCTGTTACCCTCAGGATGGGGTGGTGCCCATCCCAGGCAGTGCCCACACCCCTGAGCTAGGCTCTGGAAGCCTCAGAGGCTCAGAGGGGCATGTATGTGTGCTCACGTATGACTTTCAGAGGGGACTTTTCCTCCCTCTTCTCCCTCCTTTTCCTCCCTCTTCTGCCTCTGCAGCCATCTCTCCACCACCGGGGTCCTGCAGCCAGCAACTTGCCCATCCCTCAGGACCACATGCACAGTGCAGACCAGCAGGGGAGGGAAAGAAGAGTGACAGAAAGAGAGGGAGATGGAAACCAGAAAGGAAGTCAAAAGGATGAGAAGGACAGAGAACCGAGAAGGAAAGATGCAAGGGAGGGAAGAGGGAAATTGAGGGGGAGGGGAAGGCAAGAGGAGAGAAGAAAGGAGAGTTGAAGCCGGTCGCAGCGGCTCACACCTGTAATTCCAGCACTTTGGGAGGCCCGGGTGGGTGGATCACAAGGTCAAGAGATCAAGACCATTCTGGCCAACATGGTGAAACCCCATCTCTACTAAAAATACGAAAATTAGCTGGGCATGGTGGTGCGTGACTGTAATGCTAGCTACTTGCGAGGCTGAGGCAGGAGAATCGCTTGAACCTGGGAGGCAGAAGCTGCAGTGAGCCCATATCACACTGCTGCACTCCAGCTTGGTAACAGAGCAAGACTTTGTCTCAAAAAAAAAATAAAATAAAATAAAAGGAGAGTTGAAAGGAGAGATGTGGAAGTGGGGAAGAAAGAGGCGACAGGAGCAGGGCTGTGCTGGCCCTGCTCCCAATGGCCACAGAGGCTGCCCCCATGGTCCCCATCACAGACACGGAGAGATGTGGCCATCTTCCTGCCTGTATTCCTTCACACCCTCCTCTGAGGGATGCCAGGGCCTTCCCCACATACTCTGCTCACTTCTGAGCACGCTCCATTTCAGCAGGGGGAATGGGGAGAGGAAACAGGGGTCAGGCCGGCACCCAGGCATGCAGGACTGTCCCGGTTCAGAACTTTATACTTTCATTAATACAGCCTCATAGTCTCACAGCATAGTTGCTTTTTTGTTTTCCTGGTGAATTTTTAAAGCAGCATCATCGTTCCTTTGGCACCCGACAAGCTGGAGAGCCTTGTGATTTCTCTCCATCTAGCTCTAGTCCTTTGTTCTATGGAAATTGCTGCAAACTAGGCTTAGACAAGGTGATCTCCAAGCCATGAGCTAAACTCCAGTGCGGACTCAGGGAACAGTGCACTGGAGTGCGGGGACTCAAGACGATGGTGTGTGCTTCCGTGATTCAGGGAGAGGGGTGTGAGGAGAGAGGACTTTTGAGTTTCTTGATAATAATTTCCCATTTGTTGAGCATGTATAGTATCAGCCACTGTGCTTGTCTTATTGAATCCACAGAACAGCCTGGAGGTAGGGAATATTATTGACCCAATTATGCAGATGAAGACACAGAGGCACAGAGAAGTTAGGATATTCATCCGAAATCACACAGCCTGTAAGTTGTGGAGTCACCCTAACTACTAAGCAACACTGCCTCTCCTGTCCCTGTGCAACGGCAGGTGACCTCAGTGGTCACTAAGGGCTCTTCCAGCACTTTCTTGTGTGGAAGCCATCCCCTCCTGGGGGACAGGCTAGAGGGTCTGGGGCAGGAGTGGCAGTGCAGCCCTCCCCTACCTCCCCACAGAGGCCTGTAGCTTAGCCACCGTGTTCTGTGCCCTGCCCACTGCCCACCGGCTGTGCAGCCCCCGGGCACAGGCCTCTTCTCTCTGCCTCTGAATTGCAACGTTGGCGGCAGAAGCGGGAAGCATATTGTGCGCAGAAACAAAGCTGAGTGGTTTTCCCTTTTTCTGAAGGTGGTAATGGTGCAATTAGTGGCTAAGCCATTACCCCCCTCCTCCCTTGCTCGCCTCCCCTCTTCCCCTCTGCCGCCCTCCCTTTTCTCTCCTGGGATTGTGGCTGAATGGGAGAGCTCGCCCATCATTCTCCCCCACCCCCCACTCCCAGGAGGAGGGGCAGAATGGAGGGGTTATCTGGATGTCTCCAGGGGGTCCCTGGATGTAGGATAGTGAGTCAGGGACTTTGGGGGTTTTGAGAATACCAAGAAGCAGGTAACATCTCCTTCAAGTGAGAGGACTAGCAAGGCAATGTGGAGGCTCAGAAGGGGTGGGCTAGAATCGCTGAGGGTCTGGATGGCTGGATCCTTTTTTCCATCCCATGCTCACTGGGGGAAGGTGCTGGCATGAAGCCTCAGCCCACCAAGCTGTGAAATGAGCCAAGTCACCCTCTTTCCTGAGTGCAGAGGGAAGGGGTATGCAGGGTCTGAGATTCCAAGTCCAAGCTAGAGTGATGGGGTGGTCATGGGCCTGCTTTAAACCTTCATTTTCCTACTCTAGAACCTAGAAAGAGGCCTCCTGTTTATGTAGTTCCCAAAGGCCTTTACAGCCCTTAGCCCATTCCATCTCCATGGCCTTCCTCTGCAGGGCACCTTCGTTCCTCTGTTGTGTAGAAAAGGAGGTAGAGGCTCAGAGAGGATAAGTGACTTGCCCATGATCACACAGCTAGTAGATGTCTAAGAATCGGAGCTCAAACTCAGATCCTTAGGCTTAAATTCCAGTCTCTTTTCTTCTTAACTCCAAGACCTTGAAGAAAGATCTTGTGGCTGTAGGTATGGCTGATGCCCTGAAGAGCGGAAGTCAGCAGGGAAGGTGCCCACAACATCTGGGGATGAAGATTTCAGGGCAGGTCTCCGGCCAGTGGCCTAGCCCAGGTAAGCCATGCCATGCTCACCTCCCAACAGCTGCCTCTCGCCTCTTTTACCTTGAGTGGAAGCACAAGCAGAAACTGGGACATGAGCCCCAGGAGACCAGATCTCCACGGTCCCCTTGGGGGCATGGGGTGGGAGAGAGGCTGTAGAAGAGGGCTCGGGAGGGGAGCAGCTGTCACAGCTGTGAGAGGTGGGGGTGAGCAGGGCTCAGGGACAGGAGAGGCAGTGTTGCTTAGTAGCAACATTCAGGGCTGCTCCCTCCAGAATCCTGGGGTGTCCTCTGCGCTTCTCCGCCAAGCTAGAGTGCTAGCGTGATAGATACGGTGGTAGAAGAGCTGAGAGAGCAGAAGCATAACAAGAAAGACAGAGGCAGAAGCCAAAAAAAAAAAAAAAAAATACAGAGGGCAACAGAGAGACAGTTACAGAGACTACAGTGATCCACAGAGGGAGAGACATCCCCGTGAATTAGCCATCGTTTCCCTGTAAGCCTTAGAACCCAGCTGTTGCCAGGGCAACGGGGCAATACCTGTCTCTCCAGAGATGAAGTTGCCAGGGTAACTGCATCCTGTCATTCTTTCCTGGGGACCATCCGGAATGCGGCACCCACTGGCCGTTACCATGGCAACTGCCTTTTTGCCCCACTTAATCCTATCCCGTCTGCTACAAGGGCCCCACAGTTGGAGGTGGGGGAGGTGGGAAGAGAAAAGATCACTTGTGGATGAAGTTTGTTCTATTCCACCTCCTCCAGCCCCTCCTTGGGTCCGTCACCCCAGGGGTGCTGGGTCCATCCACCCCCAGGCCCACACAGGCTTGCAGTATTGTGTTCAGTATGGCCAGGGCGTCCGAGAGCAGGTTTCGCAGTGGAAGGCAGGCAGGTGTTGGGGAGGCAGTTACCGGGGCAACGGGAACAGGGCGTTTCGGAGGTGGTTGCCATGGGGACCTGGATGCTGACGAAGGCTCGCGAGGCTGTGAGCAGCCACAGTGCCCTGCTCAGAAGCCCCGGGCTCGTCAGTCAAGCCGGTTCTCTGTTTGCACTTGGCAGCACGGGCAGGCGAGTGGCCCCTAGGTCCGGGAGCAGAGCAGCAGTGCCCCAGTCCTGGTCCCCCAGTCCCAAGCCTCGCCTGCCTGCCCAGCGCCAGGATGGCCACCATCACCTGCACCCGCTTCACGGAAGAGTACCAGCTCTTCGAGGAATTGGGCAAGTGAGTTGTGTCTCAGGGAGTCCTGGAGGGCATGGTGGGGGGGAGGTCAGTGTCTTGAGCGAGGTGTGTGTGCCTGCCGTGCTTGGGGAGCATTCCTGTGTATACAGATGAAGGCAGACTACATGAGTTTGGGGGTACCTGCCTGTGCACAGAGCGTCCAGAGTCGGGTGTGGGCATGTTTGTGGGTGCACAGATGTGCCAAGCTAGCCAGGCAAGTGTGTATGTAGGGACGAGGGGTTGACAGTGTATGCCAGTACACACGCACACACATACACACACACACACACGCATGCACACAAGTACACACAACCTGGATACACACAGATTCTTAGAGACTCAGGGTTAAAAAGGGATTTTCCTAGTCAGCTGGGTCCAAAGCTGGAATTCCTTCTCCAGTTTTGCCTTAGGTGGCCATTTGGCTTCCACTTAGATACCTCCAGTGACAGAGAATTCACCAGCACCCGGTAGTTCTTCCTGACTTTAGACACCTACAGTGACTGTACAGAGTGGCCAACTTCTCCCTCCCCACCTCCCCCTTCTCAGCTCCTGCCAGGAGTGAGGGCATCAGTACAGTAGGGGTTAATATCTGAGCACGACAGTCTTCCCGGGTGTTGGGAGGTGGGGAGGGGCAATCAGGCAAGCTGTAGCGGGGGCACTGCTGTTTCAGGGGCTGGGGCATGAACGGTGCAGCAGCTCTGGATCTTTGGCAAAGTTGCCCAGCCCAGAGCTCATTTTCTGTCCTGACGGCTGCTGTGGAGAGGAGGGAGGGAGGAGGAGGAAACAGGGGAGCCCCTGTGGGTGGCCCAGTGGGCTGTGGAGTGGCAGGGATGGGCTCCTGGATGTCCCAGTTGGGTTTCCGGAGGATCCTGGGATGGGTCAAGAGTTGGGTGCATTTTGGAGACAGAGTTTACCTTGTGGGCAAAGAAGCACCGATGCCCTGTTGGTTTCTGCTGTGGCCGCAGGAGCACAGCGGGGAGGGGCCCTGGAGACAGGTGTGTGCTGCTGTGAGTTCTGAATGTGTTTGCACCAGTGTGCATTTTGAGGAGGAGTGATGTGTGTTGCTGTAAAAGGACTTTTGAGGGAAATTGATTGTGACACTGGGGTACACTTGTGTGGCCCGAAAGGGTGTGCAAGCATTCATGCATGTGCACCAGGAAGAGGTGCTTCATGTGTAAGGCCTGAAATGCAAGTGTGCCTGGAAAGGGTGCCTATGTCCTGTGAGTATCACAGGAGTGCTGCTGATTGATTGGGTCGAATGAGAGCAAGGACGTGGACATGACTCATTATATGTGCACATGTATGGCAGGTTAGAGCTGTGTGCACATAGGAAGACACATGTGCATGAGGTCTGGGGGTGTGTGAGGATGCTCATGTGAGATGCGGACACAATGGTGTTCCTATGAGGTCTTGACATGAACATCTTTGAAAGCTGGGGTCATGCACACAGGAAGATGTACGGGTGTGTGCACACGCATGTGTGTGCGTGTGTGAGGCCTGGGCTTACAGGCTTGTGTGGGAGTATGGGTGTTATATGCATGTGTGAGCTCATGCTGGTGTCTGCATATGTGTAGGAAGGAGGTGGCCCTGTGACTGTATACGAGAAGGCTGCTTGCACACACACGCGCGCGCACACACACACACCCAGACTATCCTACAGGCATATACCGCCTCCCATGAGCACACATACCCATGTGTAGGTGTGTGTTCATTCTTATCTGCAGACTTTCTGCTTTTCTGAATGTGCTTTTATTGGGGGTAGGGGCAGAAACAAAATGTTTGGGGCTTCTCTAGAGGACTGAGGTTGTCTACAAACTTGTGCAGGGACCCCTCTCCAGGTGTTTTCCAGTGCGCGCCTAGAATCCAAGAATTCCCTGATTAGCGACGAAGCTGCCTTTCAGGGAGTGACCAAGACTGGGTTCCGGCAGGACTGTGTCATGAGTACAGTGAGATGGAGCTGAGATGTGACTCAAGCACTCAAAGTGAAAATAAAAGTGATGTTTTGCCCCGAGAGGAGATGGATAGCATTAAGACTGGGTTTTGTGGGGACAACTTGGCACAGAAACCCTTCGTGAGACTTCACAAGGAATTTCAGGGGCAAGGGAGCCCTGGTGTGGCCATGGCAGGAAAACCGAGGGTAAAAGGCATAGCTAGGCCTTCTTTAATCAATTTCAGGCTTCTTCCTTCCAGAACCATCAGTGCTCTTAACCTTTTTTAGGTCACATATTCCTCCAGGAATCTGATGAAAGTCTAAATCTACGTTCCCCAGAAAAACGCACAAAGCTCCGAAATGTTGCATGCAATGTCAGGAGCTTGCAGGACATTGGGAAGGCTGTGTATGAGCCAAAGGTTGCGGAAGCTTGTATCGGAGAAAAGGGGATGAAGTGGCCTGGTTCCACACCTCTGATGTCTGTGTTAAAAAGACCAGAGCACATCACTGAGGAGCCTGGGGCTCCTGCTCTGCACAGCAGCTTCAGTCTGAGCATCCAGTGGTGCAGGGAGGGGCAGTGCCCTGCATGGCCATTAAAGACACAGGCTCTGTCCCTCACCACCCATAGCTCTGTGACACCGGGCAGGCTGTGCTACCTCTTCCCCTCTACTTGTAGACTAGAGATAAAAAGGGCTGTGAGGATTCAATGAGATTGTGCATGTAGAGACACAGCCTTGAGCCTGGCACACGATGGGCCCCCCAGGCCGATTGCTACCGGGATGACTGTTGTTGTTCTTAAAGGCTGGGCAAGGCTAAAAGCGAGGAAAGGGACCTGCTTGTACCTTTTGTCTGGAGTCGGTCCATCCAGGGCTGGGAGGAGGTTCACCAAACCGTGCTTCCCTGCTGGCTGGCCGGGAGGCAAATACTCCTCTTCTGTGGAAGGAAGCCATGAGGGTACCTGCAGGGCCTGTCCTTCGATTGATGACCCATGGTTCCTGCCAGCTGGGACACTGCAGTCACCACCCAAAAGCTGAGCCCCCATCCCAGAACCCACTTCAGATCACTAGCAGGGTGACTGGAAGACGCAGCCAGGTTGGCCCTCAAAGGGCACACGGGAGCCTTTGGGTCTCCCTCTTCAAGGCCTTGGGCTGCCCAGCTGGAGAGGTGGGCAAAGCCCTCTGGAGGGCTTCTGGCACCCTGCCCAGTGGGGTCTGGCTCAGAACTGCAGGCCTTTGCAGAGGCCCAGGTAGGGCTGGCTATGGATGTGAGAGGAGCTGCTCTTCTCCAGCCCTGGTAGGCAGCCCTCTGGGAACCTGTGATGGGGCCGGAGCCCTGGGCAGGGCTTCTGGAGCCTCTTGATGCTACTGGACTGCAGGTTCCACTGAAGCATATGAATTCAGATGAGTCAAGAACTTGATTCCGGTCCCCTAGAAGGTTGGGGTGGGGCTGTCTCTTGGGATCCAGGATGAGCTCATCCTTCCTCCTTTGACCCAATCCTCTTCTCTCCCGAGGATGAGAGAAATAAAAGCCCAGACCCTAGAGGCACAGAAGCTTGCAGGAAGCATGCTGGACCAGCTCCAGGGTTCAGTGTGGACTGAAGCGGCCAGGCCCGAGCTCCCAGCATACCCAGGCTTCTCCAAAGACCTCTCTGAGAAAGGGAAGAATGCTGCTTATTGGGCGAAGGGGTGGATACAGGTGCACCAGAGGGCCCAGGGAAGGGGTCCCGTTCAAGGAAGTGGAAAATGAACCTTTTCCAGCCTTTGGCATTCTCTGGGCTTCTGATCCTTCCCCCAGGAGGGGTTAGAAAGGCAGAAAGTTGTCCTACAGCCTGTGTCATCACTGGGCTGTATGGGAAGAGTCTCCGAAGGAGATTTTACTTGAGAGAGGGAGCGGGAGGGAGGAAGAGAGACTGGAGAGAGAGCTTAGCCCACTCTTTTCTCTCTAGAAACAGATTTGAAACTGACTCAAGGCAGAGTTGGGGTTGGAGATGGGGTTGTCGGGGCTGCAGTTGGCCAGCCTGGTTGACAGGGAGGAGAGGGCACCTTCCTCCACCCGGGCTTCTTCTCACCTGGGCTGATCCATGGGTGGCAGTGTGGCCCAGAGGCAGCTCCCTGCACTGAGGTCCTGGGGCCTGGGTGCTCAATTCTTCTCGTGGGACCCGAGCTCTAACATCTGTAGAATGTGCTTAGCAATTCTGCCTTTCCCAGGCAGAGCCGATGGGGGGATGGACAATGTCATGTTGGAGAGAGAACACTGGGCATCCATGCACCCGAAAACTGGGGGCCGTACTTTTCCTCCACCTCTTATACCCTCTCCTATCCACAGCACTTTGGGGCCAGTGAGGCTCTTCATCCATGAGCTCATCTCTGGCGGAGGTGGGCAGGGCTTACTCATCCATCTTACAGATGAGGAGACCGCAGCTTGAGGAGGTGGAGAGACTGGCTCAGGGGATTGTGTCCAGGCCTCCAGCACCCGGCATACAGGGAAGACTGCTGAGAGGGATTGCAACTGGTGCCATAGCTGGAGAACGTCCTTCCTCTTGCCCACTAACAAGGGAAGAGGAGCAGTGGCCACATGGGCAGGGGAACTCTGATGTTGCTGATTTTTCAATCATGATTCCACCTCTAATATACTGGGCCATCCTGGGTGAATCATTTGCCCTTTGTGTGCCTCAGATTTACCATCTGTAAAATGGGGATCATAATACTTCTGGAGATGCCTGCAATGCCCCTTTAGAGATGCCACCCTCTGTAGCCTCCCTCTGTGGAAAACACACATGGGAAATTGCAGACCCCCAGAACATCAGAATTGTAAGGACCATGGAGGTGCTCTGCTCATTGCATAGATGGTCTTTGCCTTGGTCTTTGGGAGTCAACACTTGGAGAGAAGTGGCTTGGTTTGTCCAAGGCCACAGGAGAGGCAGGGCCTGGGCTTGGGGACTAGATGATGTGCAGCGACCAGAGGCCAAAGGATGGGAAATTGAGGGGCAAGACCTCAAGGAAGGGGTGGCAGGAACAGGGAAGGGACAAGCTTTCCTCCCTCTCCTCCAAGCCATCAGAGCCGCAGGCACGCA